AGTTTATGAAAGTACATAAATATACAATAGGCTGAGATAAATAGACCAAAGAGAACCAATGTTGAAATAAATATAACAATTCTCAAGATCCCTTTATTTGTTGACATAGAGTACAAAATTTGAAAAAGGGCACAATTCATGTCAGATTGGAGTATCACAATGTACAGCAGTGTCTTCCCCTTCCAAATGAAATGGATTTGAGGAGTGTATAACCACCTCTTAATTGCTGTTGTTTCCAGGTCCCACATAGTCTGTGGTGGTAGCACCTTTTAGGGTCCCAGTTATGGGCAAATAGTAAACCCCCAAACAAGAACAAAACACTATGAAAGCATAAAAATACATTTCTATATAAAAAAAATACCAACAATACCTAATTATAGTATATATTTAGTTGAAGCTATAAAACTGTGTTCAAAATATTTAGATTTTAGTATTAAATAATCCATAGAGGTTGATATGCCACAAAACAAAATCAGCCAATTGACCAAATGAAATGACATAAATTTGTCCTTCCAGATTTCAAAATGTCACCATAGTCAATTTGTCAGTAAGGGGACTTCATGATGTTATCAGTGTGGGAAGGTGATCCCATTAAGAAACGAGTAGTCAGCCATTTTACATATGTCTCTATAGCTTGGTGATAACTGAATTCTTAAGCAGCTTCTGCATAGAAAACTATCTTTTGGCCCCTAGCAGAGCATTAGCCAAAGAAATGGTTCAGAGATGGTTCAGAATGATTCATAAGCACTGTGTAAAACTGATTATCCCAACTTGGAAATGGTGGTGCGTGATATATGTAGGTATAGAAAAATGGTGTATAGTAAATCCTGTTCCTTCCTAGACAATGCAAATACCTGGGTTAAGACAAAGAGAGCAGCCATAAAAGGTGATCCAGACATGTCACATGTTACAATTTTCTGACAAAACTGTGGGTGAGTATCTATCAAACACAGGCTTAAACATACATCAGCATAGCCATACTGAAAGACCATTAATCAACTATGAGGCATTCCTTGACACCAATCATCGGGCATGTGATCTGGCCCAACAAAGCACCTGAATGTGAACTTGGTCTCAGGCCCTGATGAAGGACACAAAGAAATGACACAGCCAGAAGATCTTGTTTGTTATGTTTATAGAAAAGTATGTAAGTCAATTGCTGATTTCAAGAGTCACTATTAGTCACATGAATAACACTAAGAAATTATTTTTTTAAAAAAATCAATGATGGTCATGTTCATTGAATAAGTAGACAGTCATCATGTATGTATGGATGCCGTTGTATACACAGGGAGAAGTTTTGCTGTTGTATACACAGGGAGAAGCATGGTGTTTGTATACACAGGGAGAAGTATGCCATTGTATACACAGGGAGAAGTATGCCATTCTATACACAGAAAGAAGTATGGTGTTTGTATACACAGGGAGAAGTAGGGTGTTTGTATACACAGGGAGAAGTATGCCGTTGTATACACAGGGAGAAGTATGCCATTGTATACACAGGGAGAAGTATGGTGTTTGTATACACAGGGAGAAGTATGGTGTTTGTATACACAGGGAGAAGTATGGTGTTTGTATACACAGGGAGAAGTATGCCATTGTATACACAGGGAGAAGTATGGTGTTTGTATACACAGGGAGAAGTATGGTGTTTTGTATATATCAATATTATAGAAATAAAGACATTTTTAAACAAGTGTTTTTTATGGTTTACATCTAGGTAACTGAGAAAATTCTGCGGATATATCTCTTCATGTGTTTATATATTCAAAATAGGTTTTACATGTAAATTCATTCACTAGACAAAAGGAATACTTATCTTAGCTGACATGTTTCATCCTCCAATCGACTTTATCAAGGTAAATGTAATGATTTTATTTTGTGACAAGTATTCATAGACAAGAGCAAAAATGTTACTGGTTTTTCAAATTTTTTTTTTCTGGTAGGAGTGCAGATATATTGTCCTTTTCTGCTAATCTGATGAATATTCATATAGCACTCCTATATCAAAGATTTTTACTCCTGTCTATAAATACGTGTCACAAAATAAAATCCTTACATTTACCCTGATAAAGTCCCTCAGAAAACAAAATGAATTGTCTAAGTTTTCTTTTTGTTTTTATACATATTATCCTTTTATAGATATACTCTATCTGAAATTTCTCATATATGTATAGGTACTTGATTCAATAAATTCTTTGTAAATGTAAATGTTTTTATACAATATCTAACCATTTAATTTATACATATATATAAACATATACTGAGGCAACAAGAATTCATTCAAATATATTTTATTGAAACTGACCAACAATATCAGTTTCCTATTACATTTTTCCAGTTTACATTTTGTTTAATTACAGTGTGCCAAATTATTATCGAGATAACCTTTTTCTAATATTTCAAAAACCGTCCAATCAATTCACACAAAATTTTCACACAATGTTGGCAACACTAAACTGCGCAATCACTGAAATTTTCATACTGATCTGCACAATGTAAACAAACTGGCGCTATATTTGTTATCCGTGTGTGAAAATTTTGTGTGAATTGATTGGATGTTTTTTTAAATATTAGAAAAAAGTTATCTCGATAATAATTTGGCACGCAGTGTATTTCACCCCCGAGCAAAGCAATAAAACCACTAAGACGCAAGAAATTATTGAATGTGAAAGAATGTGAGAAAAAAATCATTAAGAGAGAAGCCAAAAAAGAACAGAAATTAAGGTGACAAAGATGATGATTGATTTTGCATTTAAATTTTTGAAGATCAAAGTTCCACAAGCAAGAAGTGCAAGAAAAGAAACTGTGAGCATAGAACTTATTGTAAAAGTGTAATTTTATAATTTTTACAATCTTTAGCTACTTAATCATAAAATAATATTTTATATAATCTTAGGTTTGATTTTTAATTCAAAAAACGTAAAAGAAAATTTAGAAAGTGTTAAAAATTATGTACATTTAAAAAAGATACTGAAAAATCAAAATTCCTTTTCACAACTGATTATGCAGAAAACTGTCTGGCATTCATTGACCAAGCAGCCATGGCTATTGAGATGGAATCAAAGTTCTTCTCGTCTCTAATGATAATGATAATATTAACATTTGGCATTCACTGAGTAGGCAGTACTACTGTCAGTTGAAATTTATAAAATCTTTCTCTTCAGGGAAATTGCTTTCTCAAGTTCAGTAGCTATTAATGGTCTTTCGAGTATTGTTGGAGGTTTCCTTCCTAACCTTTTATTTGAAGTTGTGTGGAACATCAACACCTTGATTATAACATTATTTTCTTTTTGAATGTGCTACCCATTTTAGTTGTTGCTGCTGCTGAAAGTCTTCAAATGATGTGGCTTCTGTTATTTGGTAAAGTTCTTTATGATTCTGTAGCACCAGTCCACAAGGTTCAAAGAAGGATGGTCTCTAATGAAAAATGAGTATCTATGTTTATAAGATTAATTTAAAAAGAAAAAATGCAACAAATTAGTGAATAAAAAAAAAATTACATTGTAAAATATTAAAGAATTAAATGTAAAAAAAATTAATAATAAAAATGACAGATTTTATAGATATATTTATAGACATAATATTTTGACCAAATACCCTTTTTCTCATTATCAGATAACCATTATTTTTGCTTGATAAGGAATATCTTATATGAACTAATTATTGCTTTCTTTTTGCCCTAATGATAGATGCTGATTCTAGTCCAATTCTACAGAAAAAGAAGATATGGATTTCACTACCTGATACAGGGATTGAACAACAATTCATTAGGTGACTGTAACACATAAAAGATGGTTATATCCGCTATAATTAAGCTTATTTCCTATCAAGAATGAGTTGTAAAATAGTCTGAAGGGGAATCATTGCTGAAAACATTTAACAGTATATATTCATTTTATAACTTGTATATGTTAGATGATGATGATAATAATAATAATAATAATAATTACAATACACAAAGAAGAGTTAATCATGCAGACATTGTGATCAAAGACCAGAAAAACAGAATGTGCTTTCTTACTGACATGACAGTTCTTGCAGTTTGTAATTTATCTTTGAAATGACGATCATTTACTCCTTAACAGTAAGACAGGAGGAAATGTCATTTCTTGTTCAAAATCTGAGGGTCAACCAACAGACAAGAAATGCCAAAAATCAAGGATCAAGCTTACTCATCATAAGACTGATTTCTTATGCAAAGATTCTTTCTTCCATAAATTACATAATCAATTAATGATTTGACCAAAAGTCAAGGAATAATCTATATACATCATAAATATATTTATTTATAAAGTTTAATATTTAAATGAAATAAAATGAATATCTATCATCAAAATCAAATGCTTTAACATAAAAAATCTTTTATCTTTTTTTTTTTTTCAAGGATTAACCATTCCATTAGTTTTGAATAACAATTTGAAAAACTTTAGAATAAAACATTTGTGAAATATTTCATTTAGAAATGAAAAAAGGTAAAAAATATTTTTAAAAAGCACTAATTAATTTTAAATGCCTTAAAGGAATCTAACTCCATCCATTTCTATTTTTATTTTTTTACTTTTTTTGTTTTCTTTTTTATTCTTTTCTTTTTTGACGATTTTTTTTTTCTTTCCTTTGTTTTATCATATTTTGTTAGTTTTATTTTATAAATGAAAAAAATATTTGAAGACAACTGAGAAAAATGTTGAGAATATCATAGACAGGATATGTGACAAATGAAGAATTTCAAAGAAGAATAGGAAATACAATGAAACAGTTGCTAGTAATCAGAAAGGAGCAGGTGAAAATTATAGGACACATGAGAAAAGTAGACTTGGCAAATTTAAAAATCACAAGGCTCATTTAAGGCAAGTGCACAAGAAATTGGCAAATACCCTAACTGACAAATTTGAGCAAATGGGTGAAGGAAGTACTACTACAAAGTTATGTAGTTCTTTAAAGTAGGAACAAGTATGACAAAGATAGGTCATAAAAGAGTAAGTACTGATGAGACTAACATAAGATAGGAAGTTGTGGGGAACCATAAATGGAAATGGCACAGAGAAAGAGAGAGAGAGAGAGAAAGATAGATAGAAAGACTTTAATACAGTAAACTTAATCTAACAGACTTAGATAATATTACAAGACGGATTTATACTTTCTGAATCAGTACTATACAAAAATGAACAAGAATTTATCCCATCACATGACCACAAAACTGTCTGGCACTAGAGATTGTATACCACAGTTTTCTTTCTGTTTTTTTTTTTTTTTTTTTTTTTTTCATCTTTTAGCTGGCTCTGGGAAACTTGGTACGGTTGTCTTTTGCTGTATAATTAAGACCAATGTGTTGTATATTCTCGGATGCATACCAATGTCACACTGCTTCATTACTGATATCTGTTTAAGGCTAGCCTGCTAGCTTGCATAATTCTTACTACTCTCCTTTGATTTCTTTCGTCAACAAACCCTATTTCTTTGGCTTTTTTTTTTTTTAGCTCACAGAATTGCTGCTAACCTCACATATCTTAGTTGTCACACCATTCTATCTAAACCCTAATCACTATCATGCATGAAAAGTGGAAGAACATATCAACTTCTTAGCTACTGAAACTGGTGTGTTTAGTACCAGCAAAAACTTTTCTTTTTTTTTTTTAGGTCTCTGGTTTTGCTTACTTGAATGTTTAATTGAACAGTAACTAAATCCTTCAATGGCTTTCCTGCTTGCTTTATGCAACAAGCAACAGTTGTAGGAGCCCAATCTTTTTTTGGGGGTGATCCATTTTCGTGAGGAGGGTGGTGCACCTAACAAACTGGCCACTGAGTGCATGTATTTTTACCATAGATCTAATGCTTATATAGTCTTTAAGAAAAAATAAACAAATAAATAAATAACTCAGGGGAGTGTGGTGTCAGCTAAAGGCACTATTTTGCTGCTTTTGTTTCAAATAAATTCTTTGTTCACTCAACTGATAAACAAGCAGCTATTTTGGATGGTGTCTTTATCTGTTTTGTTCACAAAACGTACAGAATTATATTTTTGGAAGCAAGTAATTTGTTCATATTTCTTGTCATGGTGATAGCTTAGTGGCTAGAACACCGAACTGAAATCTATCTTACTATAATTTACCAAATCTCTTTTTTGTCTATCTGCCTGTCATCACATAACTCAAGGACAGCTAGAGAGATAACTACCAAACTTTCCGTGGTTACTAATGAGACCTTGGAGCATCTTTTACCATATTAGTTCGGGGTTTGATTTACAACATAAGTATAAGACTAAGTTTATGTCTGTCAATAACCCAAATCTGTGTCTTTTTATTTACCTGTGTAATGCAGACATCCAATTTACCTGTGTAATTTATTTGTCTGTGTAAAGCAGACATTGAGCTGAAAATTTCCTAATCAGAAATGAAAGTTCAGATGTTTTTACCATTACTTTTTTTTTTCTTTTTACTAATGTCTTTTCTTCCAGTTACCAGAAAAATCAAAACTTAAAAATGTATTATGTATTTACATTTGTATTAAAAGCAATAGACACTAGGTGGTCATCAATGTTAAACTCTCAATGGTATCTATTAAAGTCTCTCCACAAAACACATTGCAGTATTATGTCTGTTTATTGCTGTAATAAATTCCAGTAAAAAGATTAAATTTCCCCCAAAATGTTTTTACCTAAAATGTTTTGTGATTTCATCTCCAAAAGATATTTAAATTAAATGTAATCCAAGAGTTAATGATGGTAATGATTTTTTTTAAATAAGGTATGACTCACTAAATATATCATTCGAATGATATTTTAATTGGGACCAAAGGCCTTATTTAGGAGTTCCACAGGAACCAAATTAAAATACCATCCTATAGGCAACAAGTGCACAAATACACCTGCAAGTTTCAAATGTTTACAGTCCAGAAGAGTGTAAATATGTTCACAATTGGGTAGCACTGTATTTCAATACATAACATTGACACATGTCACATGATCAACTTGAGGTGCCATCTACCAAATGAACAAATGTAACTGAATGAAATGGCATCAAAAAAATTGCATGATGTGATTAGAAATTTTTGAAGAATTTGTCACACTTGTTTTTGCTCCATAAATGATGATGGACAGTAAAAGTGATAAAGTTTGAAGGGTTTCTTCCCAAGGAAATATCATTGGTAGAGAAGAGAAGTTGTTCCAATGAATCAGACATTGATATTATGAGCAATGATAGCAGTGATTTGGATGACTCTGGTGAAGATTATGAAGAGAAGGAATACTGAGGACAACTAAAGTACATTCTGTCAATAGGAAGAACTTCAATGAAGATATCAATATTTCAGTGCTGCATTGGAATGAGTTTACTGAAGAAGTAAAGCTTCTGGATTTCTTGACAAATGAATCAATCCATAATTTACCACCTGACAACTTGATTACTTCAATAAAAGATTTTTTACAAAGTTGTAAATTTCTGAAACCATCAAAAATGTCTTCCATTATGAAAGAGAACAACCAGCAATACACATAAATATCAAAAGACTGGAAATATTAAAATCTGAAGGGGAATCATTGCTGGCCAAATTGAACAGAACCAAAATGGCAGGAATTGTAATAGTGGTGTTGGTAGCCTTAGATGATTTCACCATTGACAAGATTACAGATATAATAAATGAAATATACAACAGTGGTGATATACTGGAAGACCTAAGCAGATTGATTTTCATAGCACTGCCTAAGAAGCCAGATACAAATGAAAGCAAACTCCATTGAACAATCTGCTTAATAAGCCATATAACTAAATTTAAAATCTGAATTCTGATGAATAGAGTGTGCAGCAGAATTATATTGAAAATAGGATGAGATTAAAAATAATGGAACTAGGAATATGATATTTATGCCCAAAATGATATCAGAAAGACCAATACATATATAGAAGAATGAATATCTATGTTCTATAAATTATGCAGAAACATTTGACAAAGTACATCACAAAGACCAGGAGGGATATCAGGATAATGCCTGCATATCGATAAAAAATGAATTTAGTGAATTTACAAAAGTCAGAGGGGTGCAAGACAAGAATGTGTACAAGTTACATTGAAATCTGAAGGCACATTGTGATAGCAAAATATAACTTCCAAGAGCTAACTATTAAGAAATATGAAAAAATAATTAGAAACAAAGAAAAGAGCACTGACTATATGGCAGTGAATGCTAGACAATCTCATCAGAGACGGAAAAAAGATCTGAGGTGACAGAAATGTGATTCTACAGAAGGATGCTGAGACCAAATATGTGAGCAACAACAAAGTTTTAAAGAAAAATGGAAACAAAAAGGACACTTATACTTAACATCAGGAAAAGACAGTTGAAATTTCTAGGGCACATAATGAAGAAAGAGGGCTTGGAAAATTTGACACTTACAAAATGGATTGAAGGCAAGAGGGATAGAGGAAAACAATGCATAACCTACCTAACAAGTTTGAATAAATGAATGGCAGATCAGAGTTTAGGAGAAGTAAGTGAAAGACAAATTAATTAAGAGCTATGAAGGACAGGAAATTGTGGAGAGTCATGGTTGCCCACGTCCTGAAGGGACAATGCAGTTAGAAAAAGAATTCCAAGAAGGCTAAAGTTTGTTTAGGGTAAAATGAACAAAAAAATATATATATATAAATTTCATTTAACTAAAATCATATATTCAGATTTTCCAACAATTTGGTCTCCAATTTTCAAATAACGTTTCATATCAGGATTAAGATAGACTGTCCAAAGTTCATGTTTGTTTTGTTTTTTAAGCAACTTTGACTATCTCAGTTATTATCAAGAACCATATTCAAGCAAGTTTCCATTAGGAACATCCTAGTATTTTTTATAAAACTGAAAGGTTTAATCAGTCCAAAGTGACATCATGTGTAACAGATAAAGTGAGACCATACTGGAAAGTAAGCGTGAACATACTGGAAAGTGAGTGAAACCATACTGGAAAGTGAGTGACACCATACTCGAAAGTGGGCATGACCATACCAGAAAGAGAGAGGAACCATACCAGAAAGTGAGTGAGACCATACTGGAAAGTGGGCGTGACCATACCAGAAAGTGAGTGAGACCATGCTGGAAAGTGGGCGTGACCATACCAGAAAGTGAGTGAGACCATACTGGAAAGTGGGCGTGACCATACCAGAAAGTGAGTGAGACCATGCTGGAAAGTGGGCGTGACCATACCAGAAAGTGAGTGAGACCATACTGGAAAGTGGGCGTGACCATACCAGAAAGTAAGTGAGACCATGCTGGAAAGTGGGCGTGACCATACCAGAAAGTGAGTGAGACCATGCTGGAAAGTGGGCGTGACCATACCAGAAAGTGAGTGAGACCATACTGGAAAGTGGGCGTGACCATACCAGAAAGTGAGTGAGACCATACTGGAAAGTGAGCGTGACCATACCAGAAAGTGAGTGAGACCATACTGGAAAGTGGGCGTGACCATACCAGAAAGTGAGTGAGACCATACTGGAAAGTGGGCGTGACCATACCAGAAATTGAGTGAGACCATGCTGGAAAGTGAGTGTGACCATACCAGAAAAGCATGTATCAAATTTCATATGGATCATAATTATTATTATTTTGTATAGATATTAAATATTTTATATACACTTCAAGATAGAGTCTCCTATGGTGAAAGATATTTTATTTAATGTAGGTTGTTTATTTTTCTAATATAACAACTTCTGGGATTTTAAGTCATTCCTTCATTGGGTGCTGTATAGTATTTTGGTATTATCCACTAATATTTGATAATTGTATTTTGGTTGTTTGTAATATGATGATCAGTATGTGTATGACTTGCACTGTTTTGACAACTGAAAAGTTAACCTATGAGAGACTGTGGTGCATGTATGACTGATGTACGAATCTAATATTGCTTTTTTATTGTGTGTAATATGAGTATCCATTAGAAATAACATTTAAATTTAAAATCTGTTGGATTAATAAATAAAACATCCATTACCTCTTTAGAAAATTATTTTGCCTACACTTGATATGAAAGTGAGCAGATCTTATAATTCCAAGTAATCCATGACAAGAAGGATTTTCTTAAAGGTAATGTTTGGACCTTGCTTGACCAGCAAAACTTCTTCAGAGTTGATTCGGATGAGGCATGCTGGATCCAAAAATATATATATCCACTAGAAATATCATATATATATATATATATATATATATATACAGTGACTATAAAAAATGATGATATTATCTACACATGGATCAGCACATGTTTAGAGTGTCTATGTGTACTCTCAAGGATATTTGTCTTGGATCAGTGTTGTTCCCTGGCATATCCATCTAGGATCAAGGTGTTGTTCCATCTACAATCAATGCATTGTTTCCTGACACATCTGCCTAGGATCAAATTGTTATTTCCTTGCATATCTGCCAAGGATCAAAGTGTTGTTCCCAGGCATGTCCATCTAGGATCAAAGTGTAATATTTATGCACTCAGCCATTAGTTTTAACAATAACACAAGTATGCATGTGGGTGTATAAGTGTGTATATATATGATCTGATGACAATCATGATGCAGTGTGTATTTTCATGTTCATACTAGTTGTATCTTCAAATTTTCTGTCTGATATTATTAAGCACTCTGCTTTCATAAATGAAGCAAATTTTTAGAACTTTATATATATATATATATATATATATATATATATATATAAAAAAATTGGTGATAGCTCCAGATGAGTGGACCAAATTATTACAAAAATGTTTGTCTATGAAACACTTTAGACTGCCTGGATTTTTTCCTAATTTTTTTGTGCAATGTCCTATATTCTGTGCCATACCTTGACACTGTTTGCTGCCTCCTTATCATATCAAAAATTTCATCTGTCATCCATTTCTTTTTTTCTTTGTCTTGTTTTCTTTGCAATGATCTCACTTGCTGATATTACTAACGCTTATCTTAATGTATCCCACTTTGAATTTCCATTCTGCTTTTAATGCTGCCTGTATAAGACTCTTTCACATTTGGGTTATTCAAGAGTCTGTTGTATTGCAATTTGAGTGCTGCCTTGGCCCTCTTCAATTTCTGTAGTTTCACTCTAAGTTTACATCATTGAAAAGTGGTTGCTCCTGCAGTCAGTACTCGGATATATTATGTAGTGTAAAACTGCATTCCTGAATCTCTTATTGGTAGTTACATAGTTGATTTACATTTTTTTCTTCTCTTGGGCTTCTCCATGTCCATATATACTTTGTTTTTTCTTGAAATCTCTCTCCTTGGCTAATCTGAGATTCAGGTCTCCCATGATACCTTATTTTTAAACTTTATTTTATATTTATTTATCTACAGAGCCCATAAGTGCTTTTTCAAAAGAAACATTTGTAACAGTAAGATATTTTAGCTTTCAGAATCTTCAATTTTTAAGTTCAAAAATTAATTTAAATATAAAATAAAATTTTATTTGTATGACTGAAATGTTCCGGAGTTTACCTACATATCTTTCTAAATGATCTGAGTTTTTATTTTTTAAGGGAGAGTGTTTTTGATCAGGCTGAGAACATTTCAACAGCCTCTGGTCTCTCTGTGTGTGTGTATGTGTCACTGTGGGCACATGGCTAAGTAGTTAAAAACTTAGTTTTCCAGCTATGATACTTGTGTTCAAATCTCGCCAGAGTGAATTTTTCAAGGTGACATCTTGATAATTTTAGCCTAGCACAATGTTCCCAGCAAGCAGCACCAGAATTGCATGAAAACTATACTATAGGCTGACTTATTTGAGTGCACTAGTTTTGTTCAACAACTGATCATACCACATTGTATGCTTCTCCAAGAAACTGCAAATAAGGTTTGTGCAGTATAAACCGCAGGTTGGCTCTATAACTACTGAAGAAATACAAATGTGTCTGGACAACTATCTACAACAGGGACTAGCTAAACAAAATAAGCATATGGGCAAACTCAGAAAACAACTATATATATATATATATATATATATATATATATATATATTTTATATATTATAGTCATCTACATACAAGCCTGTTCTGCTGTATCACATCCCATCAGTGTGGATAGACATCTGATTGCTTCGAGCCAGGACTGAAACCTGATTGATTTGGTGTCAGTCATAGATCCTACCCTATGCCATAGATGCATGGCAGAGAAAGGGAAATTTTAACATATTATATATGGATGCATACAAATGCCAGCAACCAGAGGTCACAATTCATTAATGAAGTGTGGTGCATTAATAGTGGTGTTAACTACTGTTTTGAAATTACCCTTTTCTTTATAGTGCTTGATCGAATAACAAGAGTGTAATATATATATAAAAAAATATAGTTTTATAGAGATATAGCAAAGGGAGCTGATCATTTACCATCTAAAGATCAACAATGAACTTGGAAACCTTACTTCCAGAAGTCTGATTGATTAACTACTGTCCAATCAGGATCTCTTTTTGGGACCACATGGTAAATTTGATCCTAAAATCTTCCATTTTTGCAAGTAACAACTATAGTGACCACACATTTACTGGAACCATTCCATTCTAACATTAAAGGAGTACAGATGCCAAGAAGCCACAAATATCACTTATTCTTTGGACATTTTACTAACAATTAAGTCCACAAATATAAAATATATTAACATGTCTTCTTTTTTTTACCTATTGTGAATACACCTCTTTTTATACATTAAACCTGTTGAATTTAATACATTCGTTAAGTTGTTTCTCTTTTTCAAGTGTGTCAGTTTAATTTCTGATTTTGTAGAATTAACTGCACTGAGGAAAATCTTTACACTCCATCCCATAATACTTGTTACATACAGAGTATGAAATTCCTTTAACTCAACTCTCCAATATAAAAGAATGTCAATGATATATCAATTATATTCATTTTCCTAGCCTTTTAAGATAATTAAAAATTTCAGCATTTGCAAAATTATAAATCAGTTTTATTTCCAATGGATTACTTTTGAATAATTACTTTCTATATTTGTCTATATTTCTGAAATGAGTTATTGTAATTATTTACATTATTTACATTGTTCGGAATGTTGTCCTCATCTTTGTTAATATATTCACAATGTTTCGGCTATTGTACACTCCAGCCTTCTTTGGGCGATTGGAACTTTGAACTGTACCTTTTATTTCATCTATCAGGGTGAATTGTTCTAGTTCCTCTTCCAGATGTCTCAGTTATATCCCTTTAACTCAACTATCCAATATCAAACAACATCAATGATATATTAATGAAAAATATAAAATTTTCTACATATTTAACATCTTCCTCCTTGCCTAGTTAGTTTTTACATTGTTTAAGCTGTTGTCCTCATCTTTATTGCCATATTCAAGGACACATGGCCCAATGGATAAAGCCACTGGTTGGATCCAGTGACTTGGCCCAAGGAGTTGTGAGTTCAATACTTGGCTAGGGCAGTGGTGAACAAAAACTTGGAGAGTTGAGTTAAAGGGAGATAACTGAAACATCTGGAAGAGGTATGGCACATGGAACTAGAACAATCTACCCCAGTAAATGAAATAAAGGGGTCAGTTCAAAATTCCAATCACCTAAAGAAGGGCAGATCCTGTAACGGTGAAATGTTGTTAATATGGAAATGCTCTGAGGAGTTGCATTCACTGGTTCCCAGAATTCATGAGTTCAAGTACCCTATGAGGCTGGCATCCCGCTCTCACACTTTCACTGTCGAAACTCCTAAATGTAGCTGTCTCTTCTACTCCAAAAGCTTCATGTCTTGCACCTCTCACCTGTGGAACTCCCTTCCCTATTCCACTTTCCCTGAGAGCTATAATCTCCAACTATTCAAATGTAATGTCAATCGACCTTTCCAGTTGCCTTGATCTATCCACTACCCTTCTCCTCATCCTTTCTTCTATCACTCCAATCTGATCTTGCTCTAAATTTTCTGTAACCCCTTGCGTCCTAGTGGCTTCTCGCCTTGCTTGGGGTGAAACGCTTAAAAAAAAAAATAAAAAAATAAAAAATAAAATAAAGATGAGGACAGTATTCCAAACAATATAAATATTGGTTGTAATATTGATAATCAAATACCTATAAAATGAATTTTTATATAAATATATTAAATTTATTTTCCTATTTTGTGAATGTAACTTTGAAAGAATGAGCAATAATTTGGTCATTTTGTACATGCATTGAAGAAGAAGAAGCTTATTATTTCCATCAATGCAATTTTAAACTTAACATTTTTTGTCAAAATTCATTTCTTTTTTTAATAACTGAAATCCTGAAAATCTAATCATATTTCATCTCATATTAAAAAAAAAAAAGGATTTCAAATGCTTCATTATATTTGTTCCAAATGTTTCATTATATTTGATCAAAATAAATAATAAGGAAAGTAATTCAAACAAAAATTACACAACATCTAAACTAAATGATAAAAGATATCATTATGAAACAATTTTTAACATATTAAACAAAGTAAGTATATTTTTCTTGATGAGCATTAATTATATAATT